TCAGTAGATCTGCCCGTCCCCCCCCACACCTCTGGATCTGTACCTCAGTTCTTGTATACATAAATAAGTCTTAAAAAAAAAAAAAACACTACACTACATGAAAGCAAACTTATTATAAACCTGTTAGTATTATCACCAACTGTAACTGTGCCTTAGATTTATCTACCCAGTTGTTTTGCACTACAATGAAGGATTTTGAAGGTAATTCCCTTTTTTTGAAGTGTTTAGAAGACAATTTTAAATAATGGAGTAATATCATAGACGCTTTAGATAAATGAAATTCTGCTAAAGATTTCAAAATAATTCAAGTTAGATATAGAAACTATAAAAATTTACAAAATGACTAGTATAAATGATCTTTTCTGGATACAAATATTACCGTTTGTCTACAGATTGGACAACTGATTGCCCCCAGCCATGAGCCATATCGCCAATACGCAATAATGCAGGCACCTAATGGGAAAAAAATTAATAATGAATTTTAGGTTTCACACATCCTGTGAAAATATCTAATGTTTAAAATATGGAACAGCACTGCCTGTTCTAAAACAGTTTAAAATTCATCCAATGAACTCTTCACACAATTTCAAATCTAATTTCCAGACAAAAATATTTTGGTTTAAACAGCCAGTTCAAAATATATTCTTAACAACAAAAGCATGCATTGTCTCTATATAAGGCTTCAAAGAAAATATTGACTTTTCCTAAGTAAAACAATCATGAAACATCACTAAAAATATGATAACCAACAAAGCATAAAATTTACACTTCAAATTTGATGTTTGTCACAAAAAAACCAAAGCCTATTTTTTTTTTATGACTATAGAAAAGCTAAATCACTGAGGTGTCCATGAATATACTTAGGTTGTATGCACAAAGAACCAATGAATATACAAAGATTACCTATTCTCTGCCTGAATAAAGTTTATAATCTAGTTCAATAATTGAATTAATTTTTGTACTAGATGAATTTGATTTTTCTACTTGAAGGTATTCAATGGAGGCAAAATAGCTTAAGGTGGGAAGAAAGGACGAGCCTGTTGACCTCAAAAAGTGGTAGGTAAAATAAGTGTAGAAAAAATTAAGGCTCAGACCAGTAATAAATTAAGAAGGACTATCTTAAAATACTGTGGGTTTAAGGGATCAACTCATTTCCTTTTCTAGGGCCCACTTGTTTCTTGGACCATCCAGGTGCCATTGTGAATCTGACCTAAGTTGCTTTCTCTCTGCGGGCTCTATTCCCAGGATCTCTGCACTCTTACTCTATGTAGCTTAGCCCTCCAATATTCCCTATTCTGATTCTTCCAAATCAAATCAATTCCCAAAATTCAGAACAAGTGATGATAACTTGAGGTGACCAAGGTGACATATTTAATCAGGAGGTAGTTAATTCTTGGACTGTGTAATAATGACTCTAAGAACAAAAGGAATACAGAGAGGAGAACCCACTGGGGTGCATTAGAGAATAACTTGTAGAGGAGAAATGATTACAACTGATCTTTGCAGGATAAGTAAGATTTAGATAAAAAATAAGGATAATACTCCAGTTTGTGAATGGCAAGAGCAAACACCAGAGACAGAAATAAATGTTATGTGAGGAGTCTTGTGAATAAACCAATGGGCTAAGCAAAGGCTGTCCAAGTTAGATGTTAATTTCAGTGACAGTAGAGGGGAAACCACTTCACTGATTTATTTTTATTTTTGATTTATTTATGCATATAAGTACTAGAGTACAGACCAGAGATGTCCGGGGTGAGAGGATTCACCAGGGAACATAACAGGCAGATCCACTGAAATACACTGCTGAGGGGAGCAGCAGGCGAGACAGGAGAGGTCTGCTGAGCCATGTGGGTCAGCTCCCTGGCTGGGGATCGAACTCATGCTACAGGGGCTTCATATAGCTACATAGTGCTGTGCTTTGACCCCTTGTGCCACCAGGGAGGGCCCTTCACTGATTTAAAGATGAATCTAAAAACTAAACAATCTTTACCTAATATCTCTTCTGCTCTCAGAGTACTGTGTTAATATTGTTGATATGGACTTTGAGCAATCTAATTTCACATTGAAACTACATGAAAACAGGGCCTCCCTGGTGGTACAGGAGTTAAGAGTTATAAAGCTATCCCCAGCCAGCCAGGGAGCTGACCCACATGGCCCAGCAGACCTCTTCTGTGTCGCCTGCCTGCTGCTCCCCTCAGTAGTGTATTTCAGTAGATCTGCCCGTCCCCCCCCACACCTCTGATCTGTACCCCAGTTCTTGTATACATAAATAAGTCTTAAAAAAAAAAAAAAGCACTACACTACATGAAAGCAAACTTATTATAAACCTGTTAGTATTATCACCAACTGTAACTGTGCCTTAGATTTATCTACTTTTTCATCCAAAAGCTCAATGGGTTTTTTTTTTTAAGATTTATTTATGCATACAGAAACTGGGGTCCAGGCTAGAGGTGCAGAGTGGTGGGGATGGGGTGGATGAGTGGATTCATCAGAAACAGAGTGGGGAGCAAATTAGGCAGATGTCGTGAAACACACTGCTGAAGGGAGCAGTGGGCGAAACAGAAGAGGTTTGCTGTGCAATGTGGGCCAGCAAACTCATGCTGCAGTGGCTGGCTATAACTTGAAGCATTGGGGTTAAAGCATTGTCTTTAACCCCTGCGTCATCAGGGAGGCACTCAGTGGGTTTTGATATATATTATCTTTTAACATTCTTTTCCACAAATTGGAGTATTGGTGTCCTTGTTTTGCAAATTATGTAACAGCAACTTGCCTGTACTGAAAACAATGGTCAGCGAATCAAACACTTCAGTTCATGTATATCAGCTGTGATACCCTTGATACCAACTTTTCCTTTTCTTCAAGTTTCCCGTTCAATAAAAGAGAAGGGTAGGACAGATGTCTCAATGATTTTAATCTGGGGCACAATTTTATTTATAAAATGGGAATAAAATCTCAAGAATTAAAATGTGAGCTACAAATGCTAGTAAGGTGAAATCTGTTGCTATTATTACTCTTAACTCACTGCAAAGGAACAGAACTTAGTTTCATATATAGGAACTAAGCTTAAGTGCTCTTGATATATGGTGAAAAGGTACTTGAACTACTAATCAAAGAAACACATTTCTGATTATTGAGAAGTTGAAGGACTAGTTTGTTTCTAACCTCTGAACCTAAAGACAGTAAATATAAATGTCTAACAAGCTGAGCAGGGTATCAGAAACAATCTACCCTATTACCTCAGACCCAGAGGTAAAACCAAGAACACAATACAGCCATCTTTCAACTGAGTGGGTTATCCACTCAGTAAATTAGCTAAGCCTGAGTTGGCAAATAGAGTTCATCTTGCCTGCCAAATTTCACTGATTCCTAATACCTGCCTGGGGTACTGTGTAAAAGGACAGTTGAGGCCACATTCAGATTTAGAACAAGTGTCCAATTAATTAGGAATATATATCAGATTTGAGAGAGGGGGAAGTACCTGATTTCTCTGATGGCTAATTAATTCTTCCCATTTATTATTTTGCTGTTCATTACACTTTCAACAGCTAATTAAAAAGACACTGAAATAGTGTTTTATTATTTGTTAGTTACTTAGGCAAAAACCCTAGGTAGAAATTAATGTATAAGATGATAATGGGGTTGATCAGTATTTAGTGAGTGAACACACGGTCCAGGAAGCCCTACATTGCATGGTATAGATGTTAAATGTTTATGTCATCTCCAACACTATAAATAATACACCTAAGAATTCTACATCCCGAATCTTAAGATACAAAAGGAAAAAACAATTTATAGGATCACTGTATGCTACATTTTAAATTAGTTTTGATATGGAAATTGAGTACATTTTGGGTAATATCTTGAATATAGCTGTTCAAAAGGAAATAAATCCTATCCTGGATAAATCTTAGAGAGTAATTATATAAGCTATCAATCACACAGTAGAACTGAGCACAGGGTCTGAAGTTAGACCTAGGTCTAAAACCTGGCTTTCCTTACAGCTAGTTACACTTTAAAGGTTTCTTAACATCTGAGAGCTTCAGTTTCCTCATCTATAGGATGAAATGGTGTATGTTAAATGTCCAGGACATAGCAATATGTAATAACTGACCCCAATAATGTAGGACCAAAATAAGCAATGAATAATAGGTTCATTATTTCTTATGAATAATACAGAAACTCAGGAAAAATGCTCCAAAATAGAAAGAACCCCTTACTGATATTAAGTGTGAAATTAGTGTTCCCTTCTTCTATCTGCTCTAGATTTCTCCTCCTCCTCCACCAGCACTCTTATGGTCACACAGAGAGACTAAGAACTTTTGTACTGACTCATAATAAAAGAGTTTGCAGAACTAAGGGAAGGCCTTGGGTGGAAATAAATGAAACTATCAAAAAGTGCTGAACAATGAGGGATGTGGTAAATCTTAAATTACTGGATTACTTCTCAAAAAACATTTCTGTTTATTGAGTAGTTGAATAACTAGCTTTTAAAATGTTTGAGCCACAGTTACTAAATAAAAGTGAGTGGTAAGTAGACCAGGATATCAGAAACATGCACCCTACTCACAAAATACAAAACTGAGAAAAGGAAAGTTAGGAACTAACCTGAATACACATACGGGTTTTGGTGTAAATAGTCATGTACCAAGAACAGCAGTGTTTGCTTACCACAAAACAGATGTCCACAGTTTGTCTCAACAGGAAAGGAGGCTTGATGTAGACAGATTGGACAGTACATGTCAGTGTAGAACTGCTGTCGGGCAGCAGCAGGTGCATCCTGGTGAGGAAATGTCAAGGTGTTTACACAGAGTACACTTGGACTTTTCAAACTTACCTCTGCTCATTTACACTTAGGAAAACAGTCCAGTGTGTTATCTTCGTCACGTTTTAGATGTTAACAGTTCTTTAAGTTTAGGAAAGTCATGAGGTTATATCACTGATTGCACAGTATCTGGCTTTTCTGAACACAATTTTAGGATTAAAATAAAGATTAACTCAGAAGTTTCTCTTTTACTCTGTTAGAATGGGTAAGTTATTTTGAATAACTTAATTAGGTTAAGCTAATGCAAATGCTGAAGAATAAGAAATATCAAATTACTATTAGCTTTTTTTCCACTTTTAATATATTCTACACTCATAAATTCCAGACAACTGTTACATGCATGCTGTACCTCACAGGAGACCAGAATTAAACTTTCAGAGAATATTTGGTCATTTTGGTTAGATCAGAAATTAAGGCAACTGGAAACTGAACTTAAATACTTCATAGCTGATTAGTAAATTTTAATGTTTCTCAGTTACAACACTCTGTCTCTAGTGAATCCTCTCACTCCCCCCACCCCCAACACCTCTGGCATATACCCCAGCTGTTGTTGTATGTATAAATAAATAAATCTTTAAAAAAAAAAATGTGGTTGGTGAGTAGGAAATAAATTTTTAATTTTTGGTTTTTGATGACAGCTTTTTTCTTACATCATTTTAGTCACCATAATTCTCCCACCACCGTATCACCAATGACCTTTCATCACCATATTCCCTGTGTTCTTCCCTCCCTTGTTTTGATCCCCCTTCCTATGCCTTCATTGTTATATGCCTCAGGTCTCTGATCAGCTTGCTAATTTTGACTATTTACTAACCTTTTCTTTAGTTTCTCTATATTCTACAAATAAGTGAGACCATCTGATATTTATGCTTCTCCTTCTGATTTATTTTGGCCAGATACTAGAAATCTTAGCACGAAGGTGTACACTATCCAAATTATTCCAGCTTATCCATTATAGTAATTTCTTTGTCAGACCTATGGGAATATGTTAGAACAGTTTTTCTACTCCATCTCACTAAAATCACTTTAGACAGTTATTATTTTTTCCTCAAGTAAATAGAAAAACTTGTCTTTAAAAAAAATAATATAATAGTTTGCTTTTACATCATTTTGTGCCTTTTTCCATCTCAGTTGTAACCCCTGTGGGCTTCTCATCACCAAATCACCCATGTGCCATCACCACAATCCAGTGCACTTCCCCCCAACCCCCTATTTTTGATCCCATTCCCCACTCCACCCCTGTAAAATGTCTCTGGTATATAGTTGTTCATTATTCCACCCCCCCCACCCCATCCTTTATAATCCTACTATGAGTGAAACCATCTGGTATTTCTCTTTCTCTTTCTGCCTTATTTCACTAAGCATGATCCCTTCCAGCTCTATCCATGTTGCTGCAAAAGGCATGAGTTTATCTGAAAAACTTGTCTTTTAAAGTAAGTTAAATATACATACATACATGAAAACATCTCAATAGATTAAGACTAATCATGGCCTAACCTGAAAAAATGCAATCAACAAGATAATTTATGGTAAAATTGCAGGAAAGAAGCCCATGTTTCTGAAAAGTAGTTAATGTTTCATCAAAATTTCATTCATAGATAATGTAACATCAATTCCTTAAATGAATGAACATATTTATGCAACAAATATAGATACCTGTTCTGTTTGAAGTTGTTCCCGAAGTACCCTCACTAGTTCTTGATTTTCTGGGTGAATGTTTTGATGTGCATTTCTGTTGAATAAAATATAATAAACTTTGAGTATAAAATATTACCAGCTGAATGTTTTCTTTATGATCTAATATTCAACCTAGAACTACTAGTTACTTAATAAATGTAAATAATTACAACTGTATTCCAATTCTAGTAGGAACATTCCAGGATATTCTGGCATGAATTCTTCTAAAATCACTGGTTATTGGCTGGCCTCAGGTTTAACTAGCAAAGGATGAAATCAGCGACCCAGGACCTTGGGTATTTAATGTAATTATAGGCTTACAAATAATAAAAACAATGAATACATTTCCTTTGTGAAATGCTTTCAAAATAAATAACTATAGAATTCTGTACAACACTAATGCCACTGAGTTATATATACTTAAAATGCTAAATCTGATGTTACATAGATTTTTCCACATACAAGGAGAGCTATAGTGACTAAAAACATCAAAGAAGTTACAGAAAAGACATAAAGGTATCCTTTGTTTGAATTTTAAACTGCAGATGCCACCCCTTTGCCCAAACTCAACACTAATTGATTACCTCAGTTGAAGTAACAGGAATACAACTGCCAGTTGATTTTACTCCAAAGAGCTAAACAGTAACCTAAATGACCTTCCACCCAATCTTATAACATATCCAAGGCAATGACCAAGTAATGGGGAGCATGCTATTGTAGTCTGAAAAGTTATTTCGCAGGTTGAACCAAAACCTCATTATTTATCTCCACCTATTGGCCCTAGTTCTGCCAATGAAACTGAAATCTGATCTCCAAAACACAAGCCTTTGGGCAAAATTGGTTATCCCTCCCAAGAGCAGAAGAGCCCTCAGACTTTGGTGGTATCTGAGTGGGCATTCCACCAACTGCTGCACACATTGTGAGCTGCCAACTGAGGCTCAGGCTACCTGCTGATGCTGGTAGGGAAAGTGGGCAGCAGTAGTTCCCCCACCATGCCATCCAAGGGCTTCACTGCTGCCTCCCCCAGAGCAAGCTCTGGCTACAGAAGCAAACCCCAAGCACCAGGGTTCCTGGCGGGGCCACGTGGATGAGTGTTGTGTTGTGTTGCCCTGGGCAGCTCTAGGGCTGTGGCTCCCTGGAGTCTCAGGCAGTAGAGGCCTACAGAGAGCTGGCCCAACGTAGGCACTCCTAGATGACCCCACTCTGCAGCAGCGTTATGGCCCAAAGCTACTGCTGGTTCCCCTGAAGCCCCTATGCATGTTGCACTTGGCCTCTGAAGAGGTATGGGATGTAGTGTGCCTCCAGCCCACTGAGGGTGGCTCCAGCTATGGCTCCTCAGAGTCCACCAATAAATAACCTCAAGAAAAGCCCATTCTGTGCAAGCCCCAGCCTTTTCCCTTTTGTCTTTGGCCCCTGGACAATAAATGTATCAATCAGATTTGAGCTCAGTGGACCAATTAGGTTCAAGCTGCTTCATTCATGGAAATGAGTTTATTATTGAGATTGAAAAATAGAAGAAAACTGATTGGTGCTAACTGGCAGCAATCAGATGCTTAGGATTGAAAATATTCCAATCAGGATTACAGGGTGAAGAGAATATAAGGCTGTTCCCAGCCTCCAAAGAGAGAAAGACTCAGCAGATGACCTTCATGGAACATCAGAGACCTCCATAAACTGAGACCCTCACAGATTTAGCTGATCACTATAAACCCCAGGCCTCCATATTCTCCATAGATCTCCAGAGCTCTAGACTTTTGCAGGGGCCTTGCTGCTGCAGCTACCTTTATCCTTGCCTCTGACATTTCATGCAAGGAATATTGTTGGCTTTGGCCCAGTGTCTCAAAGATCTGTTGTGCTTTTGGTTCATATCAATAGCTCACACAAAGAGCTTTAACATTGGTGTCTCTTGTAGATTCCCCAGGCCCCTCCCTGCCAGTTTTGGGGATAATGTATGGGTGCCCAGAGTTACAGCTGGTCAAAAATGTGGAGTCAGGGCTCTCCTTGCTGGTTCAAAGGACTGGAGCATAACACTATGAAGCTAGCTACAGCCGCTTCTGCATTGAGTTCAATCTCCAGCCAGGGGTGACCCACATGCACAGCAAACTTCTCTGTCTTGCCCACTGCTCTCATCAGTAGTGTACTTCATCAACTTGCCTGTTCTACTCCCCACTGTCTCTGGTGAATCCTCTCACTGCCCTTGCACCTCTGGTCTGTACCCTAGTTCTGTAAGAACAAATAAATCTCAAAAAAAAAAGTAGAGTCAGGCAGGGGCCCTCTCACCAGGACAAAAGTTTTGGTATGAGGAACATGCAGTAAAAACAGCAGGCAGATATGGCCACAATTAGCATAACCAGCTAGACTACCTTGACAGAAAGTTAAGTGTAAACAGGAACTAGAAATAGGATGTTTTGATCAGCAGGAACAATGGAGCTCCCCATTGTTCCTCACTACCCCCTAGCCTGTGACAATTAGGTATCCCCTTTACACACCTCCACAACATACAGACCATTATGCATCCCCAACACACATCTCCACCACACACATTTCCTTCATGTACCTGTCTATTTTACTTGGTCCTGATTCCCAGTAACCTGAGGCTACCCTCCCTGCGGTGTAAGCCCCTCTAAATTTGTCTGTATCTGTCTCTCTCTCCTTGCACTTTCAGTTGTCTTTCTTCCATCCCATTCTTCCAACCAGTCCCATTCCTCCTACTCTGCCACTCCCAACACTGCAGCCCCTTGAGGTGACAGTCTCTGACACTGTCTTTTGGTGATCAGTGCTAACCAGTGCTGAGAGGTGACCTGCTGAGAGCTGCCCACCACATCTGATCACCTGGTACTATCTCCAAGTGCAGTTGTGTCCATGACTGTCCAATCCAGTGTCTAGTGCTGTCCAGTCCAGCCTTCACATTATTACTATAGGCTGCAGAGGTATTACCTCAGTGGGCCCACCTGTGAGTTCCTCCAGGTGCCACCATGAATGGACCCTGGTGCACTGCTGACCAACTTAACCACCAGAGCCAACCCTCAAGATGGGGTAGCACTGTCTTCAATGAACAGCCTTTGTTTGGGACTACTGGATACTGAGGATACTATGAGATAGCCAGTCACTGGTGGCCTTAGAAACTCTTTGTTTTCCCAATCTCCTGTTTGTTAAATAAACCCCATTGTTATTGTTTCCTGAGCCTGAGTAGTCTTGCAATTGTTAGCACATGGGTGAGAACCCAGTGACCTCTCCCCCATTCTAGCAGTTTAGGATTGTTTGGTGCATTATTTTAAGCTAAACAGAATAAATCCAATTCCTTTTCAATAAAACAAGTTCTCATCATATTGATGAGACAGCTTGCATGTCTAAAAAGTTATCTTCCTAAAGCTAGTTATTTTTCTATTTGTCTGTAGCTTTCTTCATTCTGATAAACCCCTCTGAGGGTTTTCCAGTTTAAAATTCTTGACTCAAATAGAATATTATCCAAGTACGACTTATCTAGTTATTTTGATAAATAAAGTCCCAAATTATTATGCTTTGGACATATATAATATACAATTGCCTTACTAAATAACTGTTAGGTTGGGTTTCACATCATTCCATCTGTGGGGAAAACTTTTTATTATACAAATAACAGAAATGCATAGTAGAGAAATTAGAAAAACAAGGGGAAAGAACATTTTTTAAAGATAAAATTAGTCTTTAAAAAAATGGTTTATTTATGCATACAAGAACTGGGGTACAGGCCAGAGGTGCAGGGGATGAGAAGATTCACCAGAGACAGAGTGGGGAGCAGAACAGGTGAATCTACTGAAACACTCTGCTGAGAGGAACAGCAGGTGGGACTGGAGAGGTCTGCTACACCATGTGAGTCATCTCCCTGACAAGGGATTGAACTTGTTAACCCCTTGCACCACCAGAGAGGGCTCGAGATAAAATCTGTCTTATAAAAATTATTTTTAAACAAAATGGTCTACCAAACTTGTCTTTCTTAAATTTCTCAACCATTTACCATGAGTACTAGAACATGATAGTGAAGTCCTCTCTGCATCTCATTCAACATAGGTAAAGAGCAGATACTTTTGTATTTGCATGTGATGATCCATTTTTTAACCAGCTTTACTAAGACGCAATCCAAATACCATTTACTTAAAGTGTAAAATCCAATCATTTTTAGCAGATTCAGGTATGTGCAACCATTGCCAGAGCTGATTTTTACATTTTCATCATCTCAAAAAGAAACTCTGTACTCTTTAGCTATAACCCTCAGTCCTCCATCTTAGGACTCCAGTCTTAAGCAACTACTAGTATACATTCTATCTCTGTAGATGTCCCTATGTGGACATTTGTATAAATAAACTTCTATATTTCACTTAGCATAATGTTTTCAAGTTTCATTTGTGGTTTGGTACATATCAATATATACTTTCTTTTTAGAGCTAAATAATATTCTATTGCATGACTGTACCACATTTTGTTTATCCATTCATCTGTTCATGGGCATCTGGAATGTTTCTACCTTTTGGCATTATGAATAATATTTGTTTGAACATTCTTGTACCTGCTTTGATATAGAAATATGTTTTCATTTATCATGGGTATATATATCTACAGGTGAAACTGTACTGCCATATCACTAGGCAATATGGAAACTCTGTTTAATCACTTGAGAACCGGACAGTTTTCCAAAGTGGCTGCAGCAGCTTTACATTCCTGCCAGTAGGGTATGAGGGTTCCAATTTTCCCACTTCCTCATCAATAATTATTACCTAATTTTATTTTAGTCATTCTAATGGGTTGGAGGTTGTAGCTCAGAATGGTTTTGATTTGCATTTCCCTGAAGACAAAGGATCTCAAGCAGCTGTTCATATGTTTATTGGGCATTTGTGTATCTTTCTTGGAGGGATATCTTCTTTTTTAAAGATTTATTTATTTACGCATACAAGAGCTGGTATTTAGGTCGGAGGTGTGGGGAGGGCAAGAGAATTCACCAGCGACAGAGTGGGAAGCATAACAGACAGATCTACTAAAATACACTGCTGAGGGGAGCAGGGCTAGCTTCCTGATAGGGATTGAACTCGTGTTGCAGTGGCTGTGGATTGCTTCACTTGGTGCTGAGACTTAAGCCCTTGCACCATCGGGGAGGCCCACTTGGAGGAAGATTTATTCAGATTTTTTGCCCATGTATTAACTGGGTTGTTTTTATAACTGAATTTTGAGTTCTTTATATATTTCAGATACAGTGCCTTATCAGGTAAAATATTTGAAATATTTTTCCCATTCTGGGGGTTGTCATCTCATTTTTTAGATGATGTCCTTTGAAATAAAGAAGCTATTCATTTTGATGATATCCAATTTAGGTTTTTCTTTTGTTGCTCATGTTTTTGGTGCCATATCTTAAGAATCTTGATTTACTTCTTTGTTTTCTTAGAGGAGATTTATAATTTTTGTTCATGAATTTCGATGTCTGATCCATTTTTAGTTAATTTTTATATTTGATGTAACATGGGTCCAATTTCCTTCTTTTGCATGTGGCTGTTTAAGTGTCCCAATATCATTTGTTGAAATTTTTCCCCACTGAATGGTCTTGGCCCTTGTCAAAAAACAGTTGACCAGAGGTATATGGAATAGGCCACTTTTCTATCTTGATTCTGTTGTACCAATACATTGGAGTAATTCTTATTACTCTAATAAGAATTATCAACTGATCATTTAATAAGTATGCTTCTTATGTCTTCTGCATCCAAGTTGCTAATAGAAATTAAAAGAAAAGGGTTCAAGGGCAGAGTCCTGCCACTATTCATTCTCCTCCTTTTTTGATTTACTTAAAACATTAGTCAATACTCCTATGAACAACCTGTCAACTAGTTGTGAATTCACTTACTTCTCCTATTACCTAGTCATCATTTCCCCCATTATACCATAGTGTATAAACTATGATACTCCTATCTTCTTCAAAATATCTATGCTTAAATTTCCTCTGGTAAGACAGTTGATGACAAGAAAAATATATGGAGACATTTAGAGCCAAGTAAAAAAATAAGGTACTTTAGTAAATATATATAATCACTGAGATCTGCTATTTGCTTTTCATATTAAATACTAAACATTATTAAAAAGTAAGGAGATAGTAGCCCTTGGAAATATATACTGTCCCCATTCTTTTGTCCTTTAGTCTCACCTGAAAAGTGCATATACCAAGGTAGCAATCAAAGCGAAACTGACCACAACTGCCACAAGTACTTGGTCACTTACTCCTTCTATAACTGAATCATCATCCAGTTTTAAACTTTGAACTTCACCTTGATATCTGGCCATTCCAGGTCTAAAAGATAAAGAAACAGGCAAAGGTTATAAATGACACTGAGAAAAGGAAATACTGTAATAAAAGCAATATAAAATGATGAAGCAAACAATAAAAAACAGAGACTGGCCTTGAAAATTCACAAAGCAGATAAAACCAGTTTAATCATAAAAGTAAAATTTAATTTAGCTTACTCTGCAAGACTAACTTGAACTTGTCATTTCTTGTTTATAGCTCTGGAAATAAAAACTGCCCACTAATCAGTGGTTGATCACTAACCACTGATCAATTCTCTAACATTGAAGAAAACTTTAATAACTAATGATTGTTAAGAACAAACAGATGCTATCTCCTTAGTATACCCACTGCTTTATAACAATATGCCCTGAGCCTCATTCCAAGTTTTGGTTTGAGTGCTCCTGGTTTGCAAAGTTTTTTTGTGTGTGCACAATATAATTTTACTTATTACAACTTTGGATTGGTTTTTACTTCAGCTGATTATGGACATTCAACATTTCTAGTGTATTAAATTTTTTGTAGTGCCCACTTAAGGTTGGCTGTATTAAGTACAACTCTAGTAGATTCCCCTATTAATACGTTCTTTCAACGTATTGCCAGAGGCTGTAATTTATCATTCATTTACAATTAAAATAACCGTTTCAAGTTTAGCTCCTCTAGTTTTAAGAAAAAAATATTTCCCTCACATCCAACTACTCTTCTTACTCATGAATACCAATTAAGTTTTCTAAGTAGGTGAGTTCCCTCTCTCCCTTCAGAGCACTACATTTCTCATGGAATTTATCATGAGTAGTTAGGGAAAAACATTGTTTCTTCTGTAAGTATTTTTGTATTACCTAGCATAGTGCTCTGTATACAGTAGTACCTAATAAGTATTTCTTTACATAAGAGTGACTTACCTTCTAAAAGTATTACTGATCAGAAAAATAAAAGACATTTGGGCTATAAGACATTTACATCTATACTGAAACTACTTGATTTAATGAAAATTCTGATGCTAGAAAACTATTAGCCTCACCTGGGACTAAGCTCAGCTTATGGTTCAGAATTCTTTGAACTGCCTGGAATATGGAATCACTCTGAGGCTGCATTTCCTTATGAAGAGAAAAAGCGGGACATGAAACTCTCTTCCCACACACTAAACTAGAGAAATACGATGACACCCAACTTCTAGAGGTGTGAGGATAGCCCAAGCACACTGGAGCCCAAATATTGTTAAGCAATTCATATTTATTTTTAGTTAGCAAAACAGTGAAATTTAAAATCTTTTAAGACACCTAAAGGAAAAAGATTTTCAATTAAGTACATGGCCATTCATAATTAAAATATGTACTCATAATTTACTGCACTGCAAGTTTAATTCAACATCATCATTAACCAGCTTTTTCAGTTAAGAGGAAACTTTGAGAGTTAAGAGTCTAACATCATTGAAAATAATTTGAACTGCTACTTAAAAAAATACAGCTCATGGAAGAAAGTCAAACAAATAGATCAAAGGCAACTGTCTTTGGCATTATACATAGTAATAGACTGATATATCAGGAACTTTCTAATGACAGGTTTCAAATGCTTATTATGGAGGAGAACACTAGGGAGCCCAGAGAAAATGCTCTAGTATCAGTATTTTCACTCAAAAGAACAGTCAAAAGAACTGCCAACTGAAACTGAAGAAAGGCTCCTAATCTAGGTTAGGCCATGTAGTCAATTTACGCTCTCATTTTATTAGATTTCCCCTTTTTGAGATGTTATGACTATGACAGCAGACCTAAGATCTGTGAGAACTATTTGCATATACCCAACACTACCAGAATAGTGTCAGTCTCTAGCTACTAAGTCTAATTACTTCATAGATCTGTGAGGATTTTCTCCTATGCAATACATTTAGGCAGTTTACTTGGTACTTTGTAGAAAATGAGTTACATTTGTTTCTATGTCCTTTCAGAGATAGTCAGTTACCATATGATTAAATTCTACTAACCTAAAATTTATGTATGTTATCATATATACTAAATATTGTGTACAAACATCCACATTCTAATGGTTAACCAAATATAAATACATACACTAAGTCTGCACTTAACATCTTAGACACTGCCTTTCTAGGTGAAAAGGCAAATGACAAGACATCTGACCACTGGTTAACTGACATAAGTAAGAGTTACGTTCCTATGACAGGGCCTTCCCTGGTGGCACAACTGGTTAGGATGCAGCACTGAAAGCTAGCCACAGCCACTCCAGGGCAAGTTCAATCCCCAGCCCTGGAGGTGGTCCGTATGGCGCAGCAGAATTCTCCTGTCTCACCCACTGTTTCCCTCAGCAGTGTGTTTCAGTAAATCTGCCTGTTCTGCTCCCCACTCTGTCTCTGATGAATCCTCTCACCAACCTTGCACCTCTGGCCTGTACCCCAGTTCTGTATGGATAAGTAAATAAATCTTAAAAAAAAAAAAATAGTTCCTATGACATATTTCTGGTCACAAAAACATCACTATTCATCATCCCCAAACATTTCTAATACAAACAATAATTTGCATTTATTCATTTTTCCAACCCAATTATTACAGTTCAGTGTTCCAGAGTGTAGGAATCTACCTGGCAGCTCAGGGTCAAGTCATACACTCATTCCCTAACTGGGACAACAGAGACACCAATGAGGGAGGGAGAGCGGTGTCATACACATTTGGGGTTTGGGAGAAAAGGGGAGATCTAGGAGAAAACTATGCAGTTATGGGAAAGGTGAACACCACATAGAATGTGGCCCCAGCCAGGAATAAAGTGTTTTTTCTTGTCAATGTTACAACAGGCCATTGAATGACATGCTGTTATATGGGACCTACTGTATATATACTGGACTTCTCCAAAATTGCAGCCTTTATATATGGATTCATGCATACATCCAAGATCTAGGATCGTTTAATACTGTATAATCATGTTATTTGCATCATTTTATAGCACAAGTTCCCAGTTACATTTTATTTTTGCAAATTACGGTATCATCAAAAGTACTAGAACTAAGACAGGGCTGGAGGGAAGGAGATCCGTAAATTTTTCTGAGGAATGCAGAGGTCAGATGCATTTTCCTGATCAGATGCATTTAGTTGGCAGAAATCCTAACTAAATCCAGGCCTTTCACATATAAAATTACTAGTGGTGTCTAACTTACTTGATGGAAGGCTAAATAGTTCAACTTCTATCAGCAGTTTTTTCCTATAATCAGAGTTTAAAAAGAAACTATAAAAGCTAATGGCTAAAATGTGAGATATTCTAACACCATCTCGGTTTGGAAAGACTAAGATTATAAAGAATATAAAATACAACTTTCTGAAGAGCATGACAGCCTCCACCTTGAATTATCCGCCCCCATTTTAGGCTTGAGTTCCTGTGTTCTCTAGGAAGGGGGCTTCCTGTATGACATCATACCAGGGCCCCCTGACCTAAGATCGGACCATGTCTGCCAACCAATCATGGGCTGAGACAAACTTCTGTACCAAATATGGAGGGTGGTAAGGGTCAACCAATCAGGAAGTGACCCATATTGCACCCAGCCCGTGCCCAGGATCTGTATAAAAACTCTACCACACAATGCACAGGGCCCTTCCTAGCTCCCAGGTACCTCTGGCATGCAGTTGGGCCCAAGCTAAGCTTGCAATAGTTTCCTCTGGTCTTCACAGCGGTGTGACTGGTTTTTTTTGGGTAGTGTGTCCGGCATACCACTTTCCACTTAAGTAGGTGACATAATTCAATCTTAAAAATTAGTTCCAACGTCAATTTAAGCTTCAGTTCTCCAACTTTTTCTTTTTAGTCTAGGACAGAACAATGCTGCTAATTTTGTCCAACAGCACAGGCTTTCAACTTAAGCTAGTTGGACATTAACAGCCCTAGAATTTAGTTTTAATTCTGTTACAACTGTGACCCTACATCTTTAAGAATCTCTCATTTTCAGGAAAATGTAAATGGATTTGAGGACTTCTTCACTATTTTTCTCTGATGTTGAGTTTTTTTTGGAATAGCCAAAGAAGTCAGGAAAGATAAATACAAAGGTTAAATGATTACAAGTTGGGAGCAGAACTACGAGAGCTAGACCTTCATCTTTGCCAGGATAGTTTCATAGTCTGAAGTCTTTTCAAGCAAATGCTACTTTAAAAATAAAAATAAATCTAGAGCTTGTTTCCTTCCTTGAGAGATAATAAGTTAATGATCTAGTTTAACATGTCTCTGTCTCCAGTGCTATTCTTACCTACCACCCTACTAGTCTGTTCTTAGGGAAGGGCATTGGGAAGTATCCACTGCAGGGCCTATCAAAATCAAATGTAGTTGCTAAACTCACTCACTACATCTTATTCCCTCGAGCAGTGCACATTTAATGTGGCACCTTTGTAGGGACCACTAGATTATGCCCAACTGAAACCCAGAAGTGAAATTATAAAAATTATAGAAATGTTTTCTTATCTATATCACAGATTCTTGTCAAATCTTTTTTTTTTTTAAATTATTTGAGATTTACAGCCACTCTAAATTGGAAAATGTGTGGAATACTTGATAGAAGTCTGAAGAAACACTGGCTTCCAATTTTGGCTTTGTTAGTTTAGTTGGCTAAGTCTGGTTGAGAAGTAGGGTATAAGTCAAATAAGCATAAGTTCTAGAGTCAGGCAACTGTATAGTTAGGCAAAGTCTAGGTCTCTACTTCCTTAACTGTAAAAAAAAAATACGTAAAATTAGGGGCCTTCTCTGGTGGCACATTGGGCTAGGATGCAGCAATGCAAGCTAGCTGCAGCTGTCTCAGTGAGTTCGATCCTCGCCCTGGAGGGGGTCTTTAAAAAAAATACCACATCAAACCATTACTTTTGGGGCAAAACCACAAACCATTGTTTTTGGGAATTTATAATGGAATAAAAGTTTTTAACATTACCTGGCATACCACTGATGAAGCCTCTCACCATCCCTGCACTTCTGGCCTGTACCCTGGTTCTGTATGCATAAATAAATCTTTTTTTTTTTTTGAAAGATTACATTCAAGATTTCAATTTCCTTTATCAAGTGTTACTGGAAGTACAAAACAAAACCCCAAGAACATGGATGTATCAGGCATAAATGCTATGGATGAGCAGTCAAGCTTGTAAAAGGCTTAGGTGAGTTGTGTCAAAGCCTTGAAAACCTGAGCAGCTGGCTCACTACATAAACCAGTCTCTCCAGAAAGAGCTAACATCTTGTTCCCCACATCCAAAGACAAGCTCTACAGGAGTCAAGTTAATGTAACATTTATTGACTTTACCTACTTAACAAGGGTAATGGTCATTTGAAGTGCTGAGGATTCTACATAACAACCCAGTATGGAATGCAGGAACTGTGGGTTGACAAAGATCCAGAGACACCAACAGAAAAACAAAGGAGAGTGAGATTAAGTATTTATCATTTCTAAAGGTCTCTCAGCTCTTGAATTAGGAAAGAATATTTACAAGACTACAGAGAAGACTTCAGTTAAGATTTCTTGCATTTCAAAATAGTAAAACATTTGTGAAGTGTTTATTACTCTTAAAGTCATCATTAAAATTCAGGACTGTCTTGGTAGTTCTGAATACTCAATGACAAAACCTACTTTTAATGAAAAAGGGGTTGGGGTTGTGGTGGTCCAGGAAAGAAGTAAAGATGTATACTGAAAAGAAGCTAACTTTGAGTACCCCATATAAAAGCTTGATATTATTTGGGAATGTTATGCATGCCCTATGACTCAACAGTTCTCCTAGGACCCCCAAGGCATGTATCCTAAACTTGTACATTATGTGCACTAGTACCCATAAGCATAAACATATGCAGTAGTATCCTATAAGAATGCTTATAGCAAAAAAAAAAGCTACTTAAAGCATTGTCCCTTAGAAGCACAGAAGCCCCACAACAAAATGTCCGTCAATAGAAGATAAACTGTTACAACCCCAAAGTGGAATACTAGACAGCAATGAAAATTAACTAAACACAAATTTAATTGAAAGCCACAAAATACATTGATTCCACAAAGGAATGTTCTAGACAGACAAAGTAAAACTATATTATTTAAGCATGCATAAATGGTAAAACTGTAAGGAAACCAAAGTATCATAAATGTCAGGCTAGGGAGATAATTGAGCTCTGAAACGAATGTGTGATTGGAATTCCCAAGATACTGGCAATGTTCTTTTTAATTTTTACCTGGATGTTTCATTGCCAATTATTCTTTAAACATGTCAGTCGTATGCACGTTATCTGGCATAAAAAATTTATCGGTGACCCTGCAAGGCTGTTTTTGCCTCTGAGAGCGCGCTCCAGGACGATCCACCCAGCCATTAAGGAAGCACCGCCCGACGAGAAACAGGCCCTAGAGAGGATCCGGGTCCTCGCATATTGGCAAACGAGCGCGCACACACTCCCTCCCAGCTCCATGTAATTAAAAGTTTTCTGGGAGTTGTGTCCACGCGACCCCAGAGAACCGCGGGGCTCT